GAGGCGGGGGACGGGGCGGGGGACGGGGGGAACTAATAGGCAACGGGGCGGGGGACGGGGGAGGGGTCCCCCGCCCCAACCCCGCCCCGTTGCCATCCCTACCTCTGCCTCCTCATTGGTTGTTAATTGCCATTATCTCAAGATTATATATATATTACTTGGTTTATTGTTCTTGTGGTTCCATCATATTAATCAGCTGTAATATCTTGCTATTCGGGTGTCTTTTCCAAAGAACAGTCAGACGTTAGTTTAGAAACGACTTCTCCTCTAGTTAGATAAAATCCTCCTGTCTCTTAAATATTGGGGAAGAAATGTCAGGATATACGTCTGTATTCAATCCAATTAAAACGTTTATAAATCAGTAGTATTTCCTTGGTCAGACGGGCTACAAGTGTAATATTGAGACAGACCGGTGATTTGAACGTGGAAAATGATTACTTTGAATAATCAGTTCGAATTATCTTTGTCAAAGAAAATTGATTTAAAAAATATTTGAAAAGTTTGAGGAATGACAAAATTATTTATAATTAGTGAGGTCAAATACAAAGTGCGGGTAGTTGGCACTGGCTTTTCTAGCATTTAAGATGATGAAATTGATAGCAACATTGGTTTATTTAATTCTTTTGGCCATAATTGGTTGGACGTATCAAATTTTAAGTAGGAGTTTGAGGCTTAAAAGTAGAATGTTTGAAAGTCATGACCAGTCTCCAGATCGTGTCAAACGGCAATTATCAGAAGAAAAATATGAGATGGAAACATCTGTATTCTTTCCTCAAAATTGGTCTTCATTTCTAGTCTTGCCTGGGGTTGTTTCAAGGTACACACGCAACTTATGAAACGTCCAAACTAACCAATAGCGACATCGAACGGAAGGGAGTATGACAAACTGAAATTATCCAATACAATCGACGATTTGTAGATTCACTGCTATTTTCTGAATTTTCTGTAGAAAAAATGTAGGAATAATTTCAGAAACCTCTCCCAAGGTTTCTCATAATATCACGCAGCTCCGCTAAGGTTTTTAAAATTTCACTTACCTCCCTTGGATTGCCATTTCTTATAACATTTTAATCCATTTGAAGGAAATACAAGAAAAATAAAATTTTTATTCCTATACTACCCTTATATTATCCTACTTATGAAATTTATGATAACAATAAAAAAATAAAATAAGGTTAAATTTTTATAAAGTGTAAATTTCTTGATGTAAACTATTTATTTTAGTTGTATTGCAACAAAAGCAAAATTTATACCTTGAAAAATTTATGCATATGAAGAGATTATTTTAGTTTTCAATACAACTTAAACTACACCATGTATGAAAACATATTTCCCCAAAAAATATCTTGACTTTCTTAATTGTAATTGTGCACGAAACTTTTTAAGATATTAATTACTCACCAAACTCCTCCTAAGTGGTTGATCTCGATTAGATTTAATTTTTCCAAATTCTTTACTGTCCCACCATTACCCCAATATAAAGAAATATGTATTACTATTAACTAGCAATTTGTTTTTTTAGTTTACATTTTTTTGTTTTAAAATTTTATTTTGATTTGGCCTTTTGGTTAAATAGCTATTAAGAGCAAGAGTAATGTTGCCTATTTGTGAACTTTGATATGAATATTTAGTCTTATCAATTTGATAAGGGAGATAAGTGAGATTTTAAGAACTTCAGAGAAGCTGAGTGATATTATGACAAACTTCAGGGGTGTTACTAAAATTATTCCAAAAATATATTGTAACGATCTTATGTATGTGAGGTAGAAAAATAATTGAAAAATGTGATCACGAAAAAGGTAAAAATCTTCTTTGAAAAACTTCAATACAAACAATAATGTGGGGCCTATTTGGATGGTGAGTTTTTTTAGTATTTATATAAAACTTTACTATAACTTGTTATAAAAACTTTTGTGGATTTGAGGTTTGGAAAAAAAAAATTTCTTTTTTCTTTTCATTTTCATTTTCTTTCTTTTATTTTTCCCTTTCTTCTTATTACTCCCTTCTTCCTATCTCTCTCTCCCTCCTTACTATCGCAACCGCCACCATGTCACCCCTCTTTATATCTTTTCCTCTCTCATCTTCCCTTCCTACTCCTTCTTCCTCACTCCCTCCTCTTCCTTCCTCCCTTCTTCTCCTGCCCCTCTCTCTTCCTTTGGCCTTTCTCTCCTCCCCCACTCCCTCTAGCCACATGCCCAGATTTGGTCACACAGTTACAAACCAAGGGGCGCGAGTAAGGGAAAGGGGGTCAGGGGAAGAGAAATGGGAGAGGAAGAAGAAAGGGGGAAGGAGGAGATGAGGGGAAAAAAAAAGAAGAGAAACCTCAGTCGGTGCTGCCGATAGTGGAGGTTGAGGTTGGGGAGGAAGAAAAGAAAAAAAAATGGGATTTTTCGTGCATTTTTTGAATATTTTGATGTCTGTATTTTAAAATTTTTGAAAAATTTCTTTAGATTCCTATAGTTAAAGTTGTTAAAGAATTAGTAGAAGAAAAACTAGGTGAAAAAAACTTGCCTTCCAAACAAGGCGTGAATACTCATTTATAATAGAAAATTACGTATTTCAATTCGGGCTATATTATGTAGGCTTAATAACAAGTTACCCTGAATAATATAGGCTATGTATATATAACAAATTTTTCGAAAAAAAATATTTATTTGCATCATAAACACATTTTTCAATCCACCTTTTTATATTCTCAATCACATTTTTATCTCACATACATCACATTACAAAAAATGTTACAGTAATTATTCTAAATAATTATTTGAAATAATACTCTATCCAAACAAAGTCATAATTTGACTAGCAAACTATCTCTTGTAATCATAAAACGTATAGATTACCCGCTGCAGACTATTGATCAAACATGCAGGGCCACTTTCTAGGTATGAGAGATGTGAAAAGACATTCATGTCCTCGAATAAATAATGCTTTGATAGTTTTTATCTTAGAAAATGATGTTACTGTATCTTTTTAGTTAAAAAAGCATTGCTGTTTCCAAGAAATAGTGATGCATTTGTAGATATAATTATGGAAATTATACAAGTTATTTTTACTAAATAAATTGTATAGGTTTTATAATAATTTATGATATTTAGATATTTTTATAAAAAAATACCAATATATTTAAACATCAAAAGGAGTTGCTTATAAGGACAAACAAAGAAAAAATGAATGTGCAATATTTTTATGAAAATTAATTTTATTTTTTGTGATAAGAAATTATTGCCATGTTAAATAAAAAAAAAAGGCTTCGTTTTATGGTGCTCACCTTGACTGGACTTTGGCAAGTTCATCTTATACATGCATAGCAAGACATATTTAAGTACTATTTTACAAAAAATACTAGTACATATTTAACTAGACAAAGACCAATGTTCTACACACACACACATATATATAAAGTACATTATTTTTGTAATAAATCCTTATAAAAACAGAGATTAAATAAACACAGAAAGTATTTTAGTTGCATTTTTATTTCATTGTCTTTATTAATATTTCTTTTTAATGTTTAAGTATATATTGGTATTTTCTTATAATATATATTTAAATTGAATAAATTATCATAATTGGAAAATTTATTTAATGAAAAATAATTTACATAATTTCTATGATTATATACATCTATAATTGTATTGCAATTTTCTAAACATAACAATGTTCTTCAGTTAAAAAAAGAGATTATAATACTATTTCCTAATGATAAAACTATCAAAGTATTATGTATACCAAGACATGAATGTATTTTCACCTATCTCAAACATAGAAAACCTAATCCATTTTTTTCCTTGGTAAGTGGAAGGTTTTAAATCTAAAATCTCATATTTATAATTTCTCCCATTAACCCACCTCCCAGAAAAGCTAATCCACTTTTTTTGACTTTTTTTTTTAAGTATAAGCCGGAGGGTTTGAACTGGAGACCTAATCCACTAATTTAACCTTTTGCTAGTAGAAGGCAATTTGTATATCTTCTTATTATAGGGGACAATTTGCTACTCAAATAATATAAGGAGGTAATTTGTAATTAAGTCTATTATGTATTTGGCCAAACAACATTTATACCCTTTTTTTTTAATGCAAGTTGTATCTAAAATAGTTTAAATACATCTTACGATGGGTATGTTATGACTTTTAGTGGGGTAATTGGAAGATTAGGGGAAGAATTATGATTAACTTTCAAATTGATAGAAACATTAATCAAATGACGGTAACATTATTGGTTTGACTGTCAAGCTCTGTCCTTTGCCATTTCCTCTAAGTCTCTCCTTGAAGTGTTAAAAACAAGGTACTTTTTCAATATATGATAATTTCAGAAACCTCCCTTGAGGTTTATATTAATTGTGGCTACCTGCCTTGAGATTTGTAAAATTATAAAAATCTCCCCTAGAAAGTATTTCTTAGTAACAATCAATGGTGTAAGCAAAAAAAAATCCAATAAATATCTAATATTACCCCTCTCTTATATGTAAAACAAATTAAATGCTAAAAAGTCAATTATCACCATTTATCTGTTAAGTGAAAATTTCAAGTTAGTTTTTTGCAAGAAAACTTAAGCCATGTTTTGAAAGCATTCCTTTTTAATACTTTCAACATATTTTTTGGTTAAGTACTTTTTGAAGATACTTTTTTTAACAAATGCCTCCCTAATTGGTTGGTCGGCCTTTTATAAATTGATTAATAATTCTAGTCAGAAAAATTAGGAATGGAGCACAATGTACTAGATTGGATGATGTTAAAGTTTTAGGATAAAGAATCATTTCCAAATAAGGATTACCATTTTTCTCTTTTAAACTAATTTTCACTTAAAATATGTAAAGTTTGTGAAAGCTACCATAGTTTTTACATAAATCAGGGGGTAAGTATAATATTTCAAACTATAGGGGAGGTAACTGCAATTGTTAGAAACCTCATGCGAAGTTTCTGAAATTATTCCTTTCAATATTGCACCAAATTAAAAAATCCCGAAAACTTCAGAAAGAAGAGGCCGCCACACGCAATTTACTTTCCCAGTGTACTGAATACCCGCACCGCCAGGCGCCAGCAAAGGTGAAAACGGTCAACATATTTAAATTACGCTTAAAATCAGGCTAGGGTTTCAAAGTCCCCTCCTTGCCTCGTTCTATATAGGCCTCCTTTGTCTCGCCGCCAGCGGGGTAATCATTCATAATCTTCTCTATTAGCTCCATCTTCGATCTCCTTTCTCCTATTTTTATGTCACTTTTAATCAATTGTATTAAACCCTTGTTAATTCAATTGATTTCCCTCTTTCCCGTTTTGTGCAAAGATAAAAATTCAGTCTTTTTTTGCTAAAAATTTGTGTCTTTCTAGTTAACTATAGATTTATCCTTCATTTTTTCTCTTTTACATATGAGCAGTTATTTGATTTCGGGGTGATTTAGTTTGCCTGGAAATTTGAGCTGGGGGTTGCGGTGATTATAAAAAATTCCTCGTTCTGACTGCTATTTCCATGGCATGACAGACCCTTCTATACACCCATAGAATATGAGCACCCCCCATGAAGTTTCATTTTTGCTTCTATGTTTGGTAATTTCGAAAGGAAACAGCAATTAAGTAATTTTGGTTTGATTGTTTGCATGGTCAGCAATTCCATAGTCAAATGATAATGAACTTTAGTCTTTTTAGAACTCTTTTGGAATCTTTTTGCTTGTAAGTAATGGCTGCTTAAGGCCTTCTTGCTTGTGACACTTTTGTATAATTTATATTTGTTAGTGATAGTGAAACAGGTAGAAGCTTCATGAGGCAAATCACTGCACTGGATCATAGTTTTTAATTGTTTAAAGCTGTTTGTTGACTGATTCAAATCAAGATAATGACAATGTTGATATTTGGAATTAATTACTATCTTATCACTTGTTGCTTTCTACGAATTTATGAGATAAAATTTTGTTGGCTTTTTAAGGCAGCTAATACCAATATTAGCTGATGCATGTCCTGACCGGCAAAGTAGTCTGGGGTTTTTTGGATCTTGCAATTAAAATGACCTTATTAGTGTGTTTATCTAGCTCTTAGGTTCTGTTTTACTTCTACACCTGTTGAACCAAATTGCTGTTTCAAGAGGAAATATTCTGCTAAATCAGAAACACTACTGTCATCTAGTTGCCTTTGTGAACTTAGTTCTTGTTTCTCTTTCTCAATGCATATCTTTTTTGCACTTGATTTGTACTTTCGTCTTTACCTTATAGTAGTCTCTATTGCTGAACCTCTATTCTCAAAGAATCCTCAGATGTTATCGACTTTCTTTACTCAAGCATCATCTAAAGGAGCTTGCCTATTTCATTTTTCTCATGGCAATAAGATACTATTTTTGCTGTGTGCTTGGATGCTCCTAAAATTGAGTTTGGTGGTGTTTAAAGCCCTGATTTGACAAAATGAATTGTTCTAGAGATCAGGGTTACGCACACCTCCACAGTCTATAAAATTGCAATCTAGTAAATATCCTTGTTTTAATTTTTATCATCACAAAACGTTATACTGTTGCTTTCCTCCTCTCTATCTTATCGTCTTCTTTCTATTGGTTCAATGTAAGAAAATGCTACTTGTGAGTTGCATAATCTGATTATAATTTTTCCTGTACTCTTGCATATTTGCCAATTTGTCAAGTAAAAAGCAGACACTGGCTGGAATTTGGCTTCTGTCATTATTTTAGCTTTCTGCTTTAAATGATGCTTAATCAGGACTTGCCATTATCTTCCCTTTGTCAATGATGCACTAGCAACAAATGTTCATATGAATTCTGGACTGTTTTTGGCACTTTGGCTCCATTTTGGAAGTTTTGCTGGGAGAAGTAGAATAAGGTCTAAAATCCTTTTTTTTTAAAAAAAAAATTTTGGGGCAAAGTTCTAACAACTTTTTAAGAACTGAGTAAATAAAAATTCCAGTGGAGGAGGGGTGTTCCGCTCTTTATAGACAAACTTGTTAGTTTCCATCAGCATCAAGTTGACAATTGCATCTTTTTTGCTGTTCTTTCTATTTCCACAGCAGTGGTAAGAAATGTCTTAAGAATGAGTTGATAACTAATTGAAGAAACATGAGCGCCACAAGGTTGGGGAAGGAGTAGAGCTGGAACAAAGGGAAACTGCACGGGAGTATGGGTTGAAAATTATCAAAGAGGGTATTGGCTGCCATCATTGTAAACCATAATCTATTTGGAGAATGGTTTTCTTGACATTAATATCTATGAACCTTTTAGTCGAGGGGAAGAAAATTAGCAAAATGTTTAGCGATATTTAGTCAGCATAAATGCTTAAACTGTTTTGGTGTAAAATATCCAGGTCCCAACCTGATGAACCCATCGACTTTCTAACTGTATATTTCATATATTGCATCATCAGTCCGATCCTGCATGCTTCCAAACCTATTATCAGTCTAATCATGTAGGCTAGACCTGTAGTTTGAGTTGGTGAACGATTACAAGAAGAATGGACATTCTGGTGTTAATCCCATTACGAATTGGATAGAAATAGAACCAACTGCCAGAATTAGAAGGCGGTAAAGAAAAGCTTCAATGTGTCAAAATCACTGACGAATGTAAAAGTAATTGAAGTTCCAATTTTATCAGATGTCCCCTAAGGGACCTCATTGAAGTTGAAGAAAGTAGGCTCTTCCCGAATTCCACTGAGACAAAGCTCTGAGAATGTCACAGCATCCAAACCAAACCAAACCAAACCAATGAATGAATGGTCTGGGGAGGGTGCCCATTAATGAGAATCATGCTTGGGGTGAAGCTATAAATTTGGCATGTTGTGTGTTTGAACTACTCTAGGAGGCTCATGGATTAATTCGAACCACCTCAAAGACAGGGATAGTGAAATGAGGGTCACCATTAAGTAGAAGTATTTACTTCTGGCTCCAGCAAATATTTCTGACAGTGACTTTCTTGTGCTCATGCAAGACAATGCAGGTTGTCCAGAGTCCTAAATCAATTCCAGTAAATTTCTGTTCGCCAAACATCTCGACCTCTAATCAATCAAAAACGTTACAGCTGCTACAACCCTGCCTGCAATCACATACTATCAAATACTTGTAGAAGGGCATGGAGGAGAGGGAAGATTGGCAAAATTAAACAAAACTCAAGTTTCTTGTTGGTCCAAAGTAAGCAGGGGATTACAGTTAAAATTAATGTCGTGATCATGAGAAGATTGGCAACCCCTAAATGGTCTACAAACTTCAAAGATGGCATATTCTCAAGAATTGCAAACTTTTGAAATGGATGCCTGGGTGAGATTATTTTTTTTCTTTTGGTTAAGTTTGGGAAATTATTTTGTCCCGTCGCTTTTTGAAGTCATATGGCAGGTCCCACTCCCACATGTCCGCAATTCTTTGTCTTTAGTCTTTGCTCCCAAAAGTGAATCAATATGGATGTCGGCAGATATTTATCATTTCTACCAAGATACCTCAGGGGCAAGGGCCCGAACCCTGTCAGTCATGGGACTTATTGCACCTAGTTCTTTGTTACAAATTTGAAATTCACACTACACTGCCGTTTTTGCAGTTATGACATTAAATTCCAGACCTTCTAAATTTGTAGCAGTTTTATGAGGCCTCGCATGAGCTAATTCAGCACTTAAATTTAACATATCTGACTTTTAACATGTTCAAATGAACACTATTGATAGTTAAAAATTGAACTTTTGAATTAATTGAATGATACTGAATTTTCTAAACAATATTTGTTCCCAAAAATAAATGATAGGTTATTTGTTTATCATTTAATGTGATTTACACTCAAACGTATCAAATTTAGCACTTAACAATTCAATAATTTAATGAATTCAGATTTCAAATTTCAGTTTAAAAGAAGATTTAGCGGAAGCATAGATCGGTGACAAGATATAAAAGAAAAACATAGAACGAGTCATGACAGTAAGATTCTTGTAAGAATTAGAAGATACTAGTGTACTATATAGTTATTTACTAAATTAATTTAGGAACAAATTCAACAGAAAGTAGAGAGATAATGCTGAGAAAATATTTAGCACTATCAACGTGCTACTCCACATCATGCCTAAAATTTTTGAAACATTTCCCATGAGTTCATGAGGGTCTCCTTGGATGCCATGCCATTTTTAATCTCCACTCCATTTGATGGACCACAAAAAAAAAAAAAAAACAGTGACCGGACCACAAACGAAAGTGATCAAAGCTTTTTGGCAAGAACAAAGTCTTGCTCTTTAATTTCAGCTAACTTCAAAAGTATCATACTACATGAACAGATTTTTGCAGAAAGTCGAGCAAAATTACTAGAGAATTTGCAAAAGTGTCATGTGGCTGCTAAAAATCATAGCCCACATTCACAATCACATCCAACCCGTACACTAGCCATTATATCAACCCACCAACCAACATGCTTCCTACCAACCTAAAAGCAAATGGTGATTAAAACACTCACCCAACAGGAGCACATGAAACAGGAGCACATGAAGGGATGGATAAGATATAACCCAAAGCAAAATTTCATGTCGCACCCCAACAGCTCCACAATTATATCACTAACTCAAGCATAGTCATATTTTTATGATGATAATTCGTCAGGTTCTACATCGAGTGATTATGTCTCACAGCTGATAGAGTTACACAAGAAAAGCAACAAATTAACAAAAATTCCAAATGAAAAGCTAATTGCTCTTAGTGTTCGTTCGTCAGCACATATCGAAAACTCACTACTAGAATTCACTTGAAACTTGATCATCCCGGTCTGACCCCAATTACAGTGCAGGCAAGGCTGGATTCACAAGAGTTGATCCAAGTACGCCGCCACTGCAAAGGCTGCCTCCTTCATGCGCCTTGCTAGCCTCGGCTCTCGGACTGCTTCCAGTGCTGCTGTTAGAACGAGACACGAAAGCAGCTTTCTGCAAAACCCCGGTAGGGGATGATGCTAACTGCGGGCTGCCGTCCCAACCCTCGGTCATGAGGTTAAGAGCTGAGGCACTCTTGCTTTCGCTTGTGCCGTTATTTGTGCTATGCAACACCTCAGCAAGAGGTCCACCCATGGATGATTCCCAGGAGATGGGAATCCAGTTTGCTTGTCTGTGGGTACGATCATTGACAGTGGCACCTACTCCCAAGCCCATTTGTGTAGCTTCAACTTCCCGGGATAACCTCAATGGGGATGATGCCACTTTTTCATTGGTGGGAGACGATGTAGAGGACATGAAGTCTGAGGCAGCCATCGAGATGGAAATGGACAGTTGAGTCCTGTCTGAGTGCAGATCAATGTCTGGCCATGAAACAACAGATGAACGTTCACTCCTGTTATTGGGCCAGTCATCCATAAACTGGCGAAGACCAGTGCGTGATTTGCTTTCGTGATCATTGACTTCTTCAGAAGTACCATAGTTACTGCAGTTCACTAAAGAAGAGCTTCTGTCCAAAGGATTTAGCAGAGAGTCAGAGCAGACCAGTCCAAATTCTCCCCGAGAAGATTGTTGGTAGGGATTCTGCGGTTTGGGAAGGGGATATTGGTTATCTTTCAAGTTTATACGTCGAGATATCATGGAGAGACCAGTTGTATCTTGAATTCTCCCACCCAAATTTTCCTTTTCCAGAAAGGTCCTGTCGGGAAAATGAGGAGTTAACCGACCATCCAAGTTCAATTAAGAAACAACTTAATAACATAAAAAAGCAAATCTCCATAAATTGACTGTTAAAGGTAAGTGGCACAAATTTCAGGCTGTACGCTAAATTAATTGCAAGTTCAATGGATCCATCACGATGTAAAGATGAAATGACTAGAAGTCTTTTAACTAATATCCACCATCAATCACTATATAAGTTAAACCAGACAATGAAAGCGTCATGGCCATGTCAACATGCCAATATAAAGATGAAATGACTAGAAGTCTTAACTAATATCCACCATCAGTCATTATATAAGTTGAACCAGACAATGAAGTGTCGTGGCAATGTCAACATGCCAGTTTATCAGCAGATTTAACTCGTTAATTTCCTACTCTGAATATGTTCAACAGTTAATTGTCCAGAAGGAACCTTCTGTTTACCTGTCAAGTTGGGGAGATGCGGCACATTGAACATTGGCACCAGTCTGGAGGAGGCCTAAGCCGTTGGACGCACTGCCTCCAGGAACCACTGCAGCAGATGCAGAGGAAGTTGGCGTCAATTTGGCAGCATTATTCGTGGTTCCTGCAACAGAATGGCCAGGTTGGCCTTCCACAGGCTTTCTTGAACGATGGCGGCCCCTGTTCATGTGCCGCTCACAGTACTTCTGGTCAGCAACTGCATCTCTTGAGCACCGCCATTTCTTGCCATCGGTCCTTCGGCACCTTCCTGGTTCAGGGTCAGTACTGTTGGAGAATCCTATATGGAAAGCACCCCAACCAACTGCCAACAAGAACGAACAAAGAACACTTGAATGCAGAACAGAACAGTAGTGACTGTCCCCCAAACTTTCAATGCAAAACATAAATTTCCCTTGTGCAAACACTAAAAGGAGACCCTTCACTAAATAGAAGAGAAACAGACTCATTTACTAACATGTCTCGCCAAAATCTCCATCTCAAGATAACAAGGAGTCCTAAAGTTGAACAGAAATCATGACTATTCTATAGTTCAGGATAAAACCAACTTTTTCCTTGCTGGGAGAAGAATCTACAAAGTTACCGCTAGAAACAAATGGTGGCACCAACCATGAAGCCGATAGGGGAGCACCAGTAAGATGAATGATGAAAACCAAACCAGCAAAATGTTCCACTTGCAATTTGGAATACTCCTATGTAAATCTCACTTAAAAAGTACATTTGTTCCATGTTTAATGAGAAGAAAATGGAAAGAGGACACTTACAAGCGCTGGGCCTTAGGCCTGCAAAGCTTGAGAAACCAGCAGAATCGAGTGCTTTCCTAATTGGGGTGAGAAGATAAGAAGGTATGGGCATATTCGCGTTGATGTACTTGTAGATCAAGGCTTGGTGTTCCAGTTCCATCCACTGAGATGGTGTGAACGGTCCCCTAACCCCAGATGGTACCCCGTGCATGTTTCCAGCATTCAAGCCTCCGCTGCCGTAGCCTGATGATGCAAAGAAGAGAAACAAATCAAGTCAAGATATGATGCAGAACAAGAAGTAGGGAAACCCACTTGAACCATTCCAGGAAATGACTAGCACCTGAATAAAACGTTTCTGCAAAAAGGAAAAGAAGACTTTTGAAAGAAGTATATGACAGAAGACTCAAAATAGCTCTATATGCAACATTTATGGGGGCTACAACAATAATGGATTAATCCAGCCTTTCTGAAATCATAAGACACGGCAGAAGGAGACAGAGATAGGAGAAAATTCATAACTAATCAATGAAAAGATGGATCTTTTAAGTTTTAACGTTACCACCGTATTTCTTATTATCCTG